GTCATCCGCTGGTGGATACTGTTGTTCTGAATAGTCTTCGTCTGCTTCCTCTTCCTCCTCTTCTACCTCAGACTCAGAAGGTACAGTAACTCCTTTCCCCTTGCCAATCCCTTCGTCAGACGTTGAAGGAAACTCAAGAGTTCTTCTAGCATCGCCCTCAAATCTTCTCCCGAAAGTAGCTACCCCCGGTCTCTTTTTCTTTTTCTTCTCTTTATTCTTCTCTAGCAGAACTTTGAGATCCTCTTGACCCTTTGCCAAGGTCATGAGGAGTTGCTGAAATTGTGAATTTTGTGCTTGTAGGTCCTTCACTGTTTGCTCCAAATCCATCTTGCTTAAATAAACAACAGAAAGATAAGGAAACCTGGCTTGATGACCTGCTTATGCATATGATGTATGCATAAACACATGTACAAGCAAGTCACACAAAACCCTAGTTTCAGGCTTGCATGAGGTTTCATAGGTAAGTACCCTCTTGAGTTTAGTTGGCTCAAAACCTGTCCTATAAATAGTAACCGGGTTCTAAGGAGCTCAATATCATTGGATTGTTTTCTATGTTCATTGTTTTGGTTTAGCCACTTAACTAGCGACCAAAATATTCCAAGAAAACAACCCTCAATGAGTGTAGTATCGAGTATCTACCAACTTCGGACTGCACCAAAGCCGGTCATCTCACTACCCCTAATAAAAGGCCAAGATGGTCAAGTAAGGTTCTAGTCCATTAGTGCTTAATGAAATCACTCAGCGGCCCCGTATTCTCTTTGATTGACTTAAAGGCTACCGGTACTCACAAATATGTCGCACTAATATAGTTATTGCTTCAACCGTGTCGGTATACCCCGCACAGTTTCCACAATGTATTGCTATCTATGAATGTTTCCCAAATCCGGGTGGAGGATTTCAAGCCCAAACAAAAGAACCAAAATGTAAAGCAATCAAAGCAAACAATAGTCATGCCAAGGGTGATCTAAGCCCTAAGGTTACTCCACTTTTAAGAAATGGTCCCTAATAAGAAATACTCCCCATGAAGTCTACAATTCTCTGTCTTTCAAGAAGTTTCTTCTCCCTAGCAATCAGAGATTTTGTATCAGTCCCCAAAGAAAGTCAAAGCTTGAGAGTACTTTTTGTTCAAGAAGTCTTCTCTCCCCAAACAAATATTTGTTCAAGATCGTGATACGGCGAATGGTTTGGTAAGGCATAACATAGATTTGTAAATCCCCTGTGAATGATTCACGAGGTTGAGTTTATTGGTGAGTGGTCATTCACAAAGTTGTGTTGGAAGTTCTTTCTCCCAAGTAGGTTCCTCTCTTTGTGATATTTCTTCTCCTTCCCCAATGGAGTTGCTGTACTCGGATAGGCAGAAGTGCATGGATGTCTTTGTTCTGAATTTTCTTGCTCCCCGATGAAGAAGTTGACAGTTTACTCTCTGCAAATCCAGTGGTTATTGGAACTTCTGGAAATGTTTAATCCCTAGTGGTGTCCTCGTTCAGAGTGTAAAGTGTGTTTATTTCTCCCCAATAAAAGTTGACAATTTATTTTTGCAAGCTTTATCAGAATACGACTTGTGGTCACCGGTTATTCAATTTTTTACTCTCCGGCGAACATTTAAACATGCATCATTACATTGCATCTACCCAAATATGTAGTGTCTCCATTTATGTTGGAACATTACTCCATAAAAGGAATATTCAAACATTCATTGAAGTATAAGACAATCACATCACATTGTTCCCCATTGATTTTTCCTGATATACTCGGTGATTTCTTAAACCCAGCAAATATTCCATGATGTCCCTGACGGATCGCCACAGTGTTTACCACTTTCGTGTTTGTTCTGTCTTCTCGGTTATTACCTGTATTTTCTTATTAAAGTTATACTGCAAGAAGGAGTCGGTGTACAACCTTTCTTTCTTTTCAATTGTTTGAAAAGCCTTACTTGGTGTCCGACAATTCATATAATTTCCACTATTGAAGACCTACACCCCAACTTTGGCCTAAGGGATAACGTAGTCCTTTTTCTTGCAAATACCTCATGTAAGTCGGTCCCCTTCTTGATTCTCGTATAAGGAATGTTCCTGCCCCCATGTAGGTCCTCGTGTTTCATGTCCAATCGTTATTGGCATACCATTTGAGTCCAGCTTTTTTCTGACACTTATATCCTAGGTTTAGACGTCTCTAGTCCTCACGTGGCGAGTGTTTACTCTTGTTCCTTATTTTATTTATCCCCTATCACTATTTCTCCTCCATTGAGTGTTCACTCTTTGCATTGTTGCAATCTAGTTCTTTTCTGGCGTAACGTTTTTGGTCTGATGGTCATCAGTCCTCTTCAAAGTCAAGTGGTTACTTGTCACCTATCTCAGTCCCAATAGTCATTAGTATCTCCAAAAAATCCAAACTCATATTGTAGTATAAGTCGATGTCGTTTCCTTCATCTCAAGTGAATTGACGCAATTTATTGATATTCCCTAGAGTCTAGTGGTTACTAGTTCCTCTTAGGTTGAGTGGTTACTCACTCGTTTGGTTGCGATCCAGTTTGACCCTGGTGCAGCGTTTCTTAAATCTAATGGTTACTAGTATTTTTGGTCTAGTGGTTACTAGTCCTTCCCAAATATCTTAGAGCCTAGTGGTTACTAGTCTTCTTAGATCGAGTGTTCACTCGTTTTCCTTGTTGGTGATCCATTTCTTCCCTGGAGTAACATTTATAGGTCTGGTGGTCATTACTTCCTTCAAGGTCAAGTCTGATACTTGTCACATAATTTTGAGTGCAGCATTCTGGTATTCGTTAGAGTTTAGTGGTTACTAGTTACTCAAGAGTCAAGTGGTTACTTGTCTCTTTGTCTCTTTAATACCTTGGTTAGTTTGAGTGGTTACTGATTCTCCCAGGTTTGAGATTATCATGTGTTCACCTTGTTTTTGGATACAATGTTCATTGGTATCCTGTAGAGTACTCTTAGGTCTAGTGGTAACTAGTCCTTGTTAAGCTGAATGGTTACCATTTGCTTAGTTTGTGATCCAGTTCTTGCCTAGCACATTTTCTGTAGTACTCTTAAGGTCGAGTGGTCACTCGTTACCTTCCCTCGACCCCCAATGTTTGGTCAAACGTTCTAATGGTTTTGGTTCAAAAGGTAATGTTCCAGTTTGGTCGAGACCAGTTGATACTGGTATTCTTCTTTTAGATCTAATGTTCATTGGTATCTTCTCGAGTCTTGTGTTTACTAGTCTTCTTAAATCGAGTTTAATGGTCATTGACCTCGTCTTCCGTGTCTAGTGGTCACTAGTCATGTTAGGTTGAGTTTAGTGTTTACTATTCTTATCTGTTTGCAAATATATTTCTTCTATTTCGATACCATAAAGCTACCTAAAATAGTACCCAGTTTTGATACACTGTGTCTCAATTCATAGCGCAAAATTTTTAGTTCATTTTTGTATTCAATCCCCTTTTACCTTGTCGCTCGAAAGGTTGATGCCAATCTCGCACCAAGTTTAAAGAAGATTGAATAGTGACAACTTTTGTACCCCAAAATTTACCCTCTTCATTTCAACATTATTTGGCTTATATTTCATTATCATACGCATACATATCATTGGTTATGTGGTTACGGGATCAAGGTATCTCTTTTGAGTTTCGTCGGGATGCGAGAGACGTTTATTTCGGCATTTGATGCATTCAAATTATTCTCTAGAATATCGAGTCAGTGGGTAAGGAAAATCATTATCATTCCAAGGGCCCGTATGTTCCAATTCGGTTTGAACGACAAAGGAAATCAATTATTTCAGTCGTTTCAGGACAATTTGATCTGAAAGTTTGTTTGTTACGATGGGTTTCCGAAATTCATAATTTCTGATCAGAAGAATATTTTTCAGTGGCTCTTCAGTCAATAGAACCATCTTGACATTTTCTGCATTTCATCTGTTCATACCGAAGGCCAATTTTGTAAGGAAAACCTCCGAAGATTTTATAACTTTAGTTTTGGGTTTTATCGTTTCTCTTGTTTTCGAGCACCTAAAATTCATAACTCCTGGCTGGAGAACCATTTTCAGGTGCCTCTTGGAGCATTTGAACTATCTTGTTATTTTCTCCTACTTTCATGTTCGGCTCGAAAGCTAATTCTTTAAGGAAAATCTCCGAATGTGCGAGTACTTTGAAGCTAAACAAAAGAAAATAGTGGAAATACAGTGTTGAACCATAATTTCGTGGACATTTAAAAATTCATAACATCTTACTAGAATACTGTATTTGAGTGGTTCTTATGGCTAAAATTTTACCTTAATGCCATCTTCACTTCGTATGTTCGGGCTAGAGCTGATTCTTTGAGGAGGGTCCCTAGAATTATGGATTAGCAGAGAAATAATTGTGCTTAATAGGATTTTTGTTACACCGCTTTTCGATATTGTAAAATTTGTATATTCTTTGATTTTTATCGTATCGCGATGGTTCTTTCGACATAATTTCACAAATTTTGTTAGTTTCGAATTTGCTTTAGATCCGGAGTTCGAATTTTGATCAGAGGATTTTCGTTTGTGGCATTCTTCTCAAACTGAACGGTGAAAAAAGCTGAAAACGAAATAAGTTTGTCTAAGACAACGTCAGAGCCGATTCAAAAATTAATAATTTTCTCTTTGTTTATCTGATTGAGTTTTTTCTTTCGATAAAAAGTCACAAATTTCGTAATCTTCATTTTTAATGTTGAACTCGAGTCAAGATTTCACAACAATGATGATGTGGCATTTTATACTCATATTGGACATTAAATAAGCTGACACTGTCAAAGTGAGTCTCAATCCAATTTAAAATCCAAGGCCCAATTTGTCCATACTATATATTCCAAATAATTTTCTCTCATAACTCACTCACTCTCAACAACCTCTTAAACTTCCCTCTCTTTTCTCCAAAATCAAACACACTTTTTGTTATACTTTCTCAAGAACTCGTCACAATATCTATAGCATCTTCAACTATTATCAAAAACATTAAAACTCAAGAGATCTCTTCACTCTCTCCTTCACTCTCGCGATTCCGAATTGCCACCTTCACCACCGCCCTCAGCCGACCGCAATCCACCTCCCTCCGGCGATGTTGCGCTAATCGCAACTCCCTTCCGCCGCTGAATCGCGCTAAGCATGAGCTGCTGCTTCCCTTCGTCATTCTGAGACCACGAGCCTCCTCCCTTCACTTATTTCATTTTTCCGGTGACGTATCTCTTCTCCAACTTCAATCTTTTCTTTGAATTCGGTAATTTCTTATACCTTTACTTTAATTCTTGAACTTACAATTGTGAAATTGATTCATGAGTTGAATTATATTGAAGATTGGATTAAAATGTTGTTTAATTGATTAAATTGAGATATTGGACTTAATCATGAGTTGATATTGTGAAGTTTATGTGGGAATTTTGGATGTAGATTAGGTGTTTATTAAAATGTCTAAGAAGTAGAATTGGTTAAAATTGAATCGTAGAAGTTGCATTTGATTATGAGATGACGCCAAAGTGTGGAGTAGGTTAGAGTTTGTTGAAATTTATGGAGGTTGTTGTTTGAATTAAAGAAGAGTTGCAAGTGGTTGGTTAGCCATTAGAGTTTGTTTCATGAGTTGAACTTCGAAGTGTAGTATTATGTCATAATTTGAATTCATATTGTTGTTGAGAATTGAATTGAATCCATGAGTTTAATTATGTGTTGATTGAATTTCATGTGATAATCGCATTGTGGAATTAATTTGTGCTCAATTGAATTGTGGAGTTGTATTAACATTGACATGATTTTTGATTGTGGATAGGGTTTTGAAATCCATAATTGGTTAGATAATTACATAATCGATATTAGATGTTGAATTTCATTCGAAAAATTGATGTTAGTTTTTAAACACTGAACTTGAGATTTGATACCGATTGTGGAATTATGATCAGACTAAGTTGTGAGTTCATGAGTTAATGCAACTTTTCACATCAATTTGTTGACGCATTTAATTTTTCAACATCAAAGCAATAAATTCAAAAGTTGCATTAACACTTGAATTATGTGATTTTTGGCTTTGTTTGTGAGAATTCGGGTCGTTCACGAGATTCTTATAATTCCTAAGTGGTTGTACATACACCGATGCATGTTTCTATACTCGTTTGTAAGCTTAAAATGTCAGTTTCAAGTGATACCGGTGTGTTACAGAGTTTCTGTCCGAGATTTGGAAGTAGTACCTCCGCTTGGAATTAATTCACGGGAACCACTTTTTTGAGTTTGTTGGCACGTTTGGGAGTTACCGTGCGATTTTAATGCAATTTCGTTCCGATGTTTTTGCGTGCCTAATTTTTTAATTTAGTGCTTTTTGGTATTGTTTTTACATATGCATTGAGTTTAATCTTCACATAATGCATGTTTGCATGTTATTTTTCATTTATTAACCATTATGTTTAGATTTGCTTGGTCCCGGTATGTTTTTCGGGTTGATTCTACAAATAACTGTAATGCTGCCCGAAATTTACTTTTACGCTTCTGTTATTTGTTGTATTTCAATTTATGCATGATAATATGTCAATTTAACTTACGATGTCAATTGTTGGTTTATATTTTATATTCCTTGCTATTTGTTAACTCTTCTTGTGAGATTGTGCATGTTTTGGAAGGCAATTCGTAACAACACATGTGTTCGAATTTTACTATTTTCTTGTGAAGTAATGCTTAGTGCAGGACATGGGCGCGATGCGCATTGCTTGCGATTTGTTTTCGCATTGTACACCAGATGCTTCCATTGGGTTTTGTATCTAATTTGGTTTTGTTTGTTGATACTAGCTCGCTTGAAGACCGTCGGGTTCTTAACTTGTATTTTTTATATTATGGGCATTTGTTCGTTTGGTATATTCCTATTGATACTTACATTTTGTACAACATTTATTTACCGCTTTCTAGATATTATGAGAAGTAGGATAATAAAGAGTGTGCGCTCGAAGTCATTGTTTAAAGACCTGTAGCAGGCATTATGCACTTGTTTGTAAAAGATTCCAAAAGGGAGCAATTACTTGTGTTTGTTTAAAGACTTACCTCGAAGTAGGCATTCCGCATTTTACATTGGTACCCAAAGACCTCAGAGAGGCATCCCATTCCCATTCCCTGTTGATAAGTCCTCAAAGAAGGCGAGTGGAGAGGGTTCGTAATCAACCCCTGCACATTCTAGTCGGTTTCATCCTTAGCTCGCGTCGTACACCGATGCTTTGGAGTGTGTTGCTCCTGTTATCAAGTCATTCATATGGAAAGGGTTGTGTAACCAAACCCCCACACTCTGTCTTGAGCTCACGTTGGTCAACATTGACACTCCGTGCTTGTACATATTGTCTTCTATCTTCTACCTCAATTTTCAATATCTTGGTTATGTGCTTAGTCACTTTGGACATCACTTTCCCCCCTTTATACTTCTTGCCTTGGTGACATGATACCTTGGTTAAGAGAAACTTTCAAGACCCCTTCTTGCCTAGATTACATGATATCTATGGTCAGGAACTTCCCCCTTATTTTTACCTACCTTGTTGATTCAATATCTTGGTTAGGCCTTTGACTTGAGCTAGTGTGCACTACTCATTACATGTGTGTGCTCTCTTTGTTAGATCTTGTTGAGTATTTACTTGTTTTCCTTGTATATACCATGTTCCCCGTAGGATTATTGGTTATTTCTTGCTTAAGATCAAAATAAGTAGACCCTAGGATGGTTATCCATGCATGTTAACATTAGGTAGATGTTTTCCCTTTTATTAATCCCAACCTAGGACCATCATTGTATGATAACATTAGAATTAGAACTAGGCTAGTCTCCCTTAGACTTTTTCTTCCCCTTTTGCATGTTTGCACTAAAACTAAAATTCTTTTTTCTTTAAAATCATAAAACAATTAATAATGGAATATGAGAATCGTATGCAGTTGAGTCTTGTGGGGTAGAGAGACTCAGTTTAGACTGACACTTGCTTTGTTTCACTTTGTACTTTATTACGATTCAAATCGAAAATCCTTTTCAAGGTAAAAAAACACTCAACAAATTCAAATCTCTTTTCGCCTTCGGGCCTTTCATTGAATCTTAAAAAAGGATGTATTAATTCCACTTGAGGCAATACGATGCATAATTCCCCAAAGGTCGGGTTGCATCATGTCTACTTGCTTGAAGTTGTGAATATAGCATTGTCCGCCTTCTGGCACTTTTCTTTTGAGAATACCTGGTTAGGTAGAGCATGTTAGTTCCTTTCTGCTACAGACGCGTGAGTCTCCAAAGTTCGAGCAGTGGTAGAATGCGAAATTTAACATTGTTTAAATAAAAAACACAAAACAAGTAGAAACATGTAAGTCAAACTACGGCGCTCTGATTCCTTAAAAGGGATACGTAAGTATCTGGTCATGGGGCTCATCTGAGCGAAACTTTGTAAATATTTCCTTTTTCCCTGTGTTTTCTTTTCATGCATTCCCTCTTTGCATTTTTCTTTTAGCTCGTAAGCTTTAGATTTGAACACACCCTTTGATTAGAACAACAAGAGTGGATATCATAGAGTACTATGGGTATGGGGAGTGCTAATACCTTCCCCTTACATAACTGAATCTCTTACCCGATCTCTCGATCATATGATCGTGATTTCTACCTTCCGGTTTACTCGATGTTCACCTTTCCCCTCTGTGGGATTAAAAAAGTTTGAAGGCGTTCATTGTTTGTCCAGTTGCTTCAGCTGGCAACTTCATTGGGGACAGGTTGACCAATTGTTGGTCCATCCCAGAGTCGATCTTAGATCTTGTTTTTCTTCTCTTTGGGTATTTATTTTTATGCTTTCAGTTTATCCATTTGTGATTGTTTATCTTAGCATATGTATGCATTGCATTTTACCGCTTTTCATATATTAGTGATATTGTTGTATTGGCTCTGTTTTCATGTTAGATGGGTGTTACTATAAGGTAAAGGGGCCTAATACCTCCGCTAAGTGACAACCATAGGAACACTAGGAATAAAGTGAAACATGATGGCTAGTTGACTTTGGTTTCACTAGTGCGGTCATGTCGTCCATGCTCAGTTGAGGTACAAATGAGGTGCTATCGTTTTCACGTAGGTGTTATGAAGATAGTGGCCTCAGGCGTACCCATGGTTCAGAGTTACCCTCGATCTTACCTTGACCTAGTTTTCACATGTGAGCGGGAAGGGAATTGATTATCATAGGTAAAGATGGTAACTATATTTTGTTGGTGACTTTGTTCTGACAGTGACCGTATGTTCTGTTGATGACTATGTGGTTGTTAGATTTATTTTTTGAGTTTCTGATTTGATGTTGAAGGTTCATTCGGGTTTATGTTCCAGACCATTGATCTTGGTACTCCCATCATGTTCAGAAGAGGCACAACAGATATTCGAATTGATAGAACTTTAATCACATGTCTTTACATACATAACATGCTTAACCATATGCTTAACATACATGTTCTGTTATTTTCAGGGAATCATATGTTTAAACCTTGTGTTGAACCTTTCCATCCCTTACCTGCTTAAAATTAAAATCAAAGCATGTAAATTCCTTGGAAATGACGAAACATGATATGGCATCCACTCATGCACCCCATGCATCTTCATGCATTCATTGAAGGTATCCAGAGTTGGGGATTCTTATTCAGGATTGATATTCTCTTCTGAGTTACAAACTTGGATTCTTATTGTCACGTGTTCAGAGATCAGTTATGGAACAACTATGTGGGGGATTGACCTAGATAAAGATTCAGATGAGGTTGTTTGTGGTATACATGCAAGCCATGACCCGTGGTCGTGAACTCTTAGAGAAGGAAGATAACCAGTGGAAGACTCAGTTGAGCTGGGTTATGAACATAGTGTCACCAAAAGGCAATCCTACACCTACCACTGCAACATAAGTTATCTTTCTTCCTCATCTTTTGAAATTTCCTTTGAGCCATGGAGTGCTCCGTTGATCCCCTCCACAATCTTGAGTTCTTGGGACGTCTTGTCAGCAGCTAGTTCCCATTCACCAAGTGAATCCAAGGGATATGTTTTATCAGCAAGGACACAAGAGGCCTGGAGAATATTTTGATCCCATTCAAAAGCTTTATTCTCATTCGTTTCCATACTTGCTTGATCTTCAGTTGGTTAGGCTTTGTACTTCAGTATTGTCTATAAATTCCCTTCCTGGTCATAATACCAACATCAGATGTGCTTACCATGTCGGGCACCTGGCTATTCTATCAAGGGAACTCTCCACAATTTTTTGTTCCTGGACCTTCTCATCAATAGTCAGTGGTTGTTCCCCATTGAATCCATAGGGCAAAGCTTTTCAGCATAAACATAAAAAATCTTGAGAAGTATGATGATATAATCTCAATGCATCACGTCCAGTTACTTCCTCGTCTATTGGAAGTTCAATTGATTGAGCTTCATGCTTTGGGTTCTCCTTCCACAAATCTCTCTCCTGATTTCGATGTGAATGCTAGATGTGTCTCCCATTCTGGAGCACCTAGTTACAATATTGAAAACTGCAAGCGGGTTGAAGCATAAAGTTCAGTACTTGTCAGGTGCCTTTTCCAAAGTCCAATTCCAATTTGGCATTGTTTTAGACTCTTTCTTCACAAGGGAATATTTCTTCTATAGAGATGGATTATATCTCGTATGTGTAGTAGAAGGTACTTGATGATTCATTTTCGGCATGTTCGCTTGGTAAATCATTCCATTCCACCTTTTTGGGAAATGCCTACTGTGAATTTCATCCTGGGGGCACTTGGTTATTCGGTTAAAGACGGTATGTCGTCCAGAGACTAAGTCCAAGCTCGAATAATTTTGAGACTAAGTCCAAGAGACTAAGTCCAAGCTCGAATCATTTTGAAGGCTATTGTGTTCACATTAGATCAAAAGGGGAATCTCTTACCCAAGTGATCCTCAAGACAACTGAAAATCGTTAGAAGCAATCAGTCCATATAGAGACTAGTCTCCTTAATATGACAATTTTCTAGTTTCATTTGCATCCTCATTTGTAATCTTTCTTGTTTTGTTCAGTACTTTCTTGTATGCAAAACTTGTTGATTTTTTAATATTAATCATAATGCATTGAATATGTTTGTCTTGAATTAATCCATTTGTATTCACTCATAAATGCTTTTCTTTGATTTTTGATACTTAACTCTTGTTAAATAAATCAAAATACCTCTAGAGGGAGGATGATGAGAAATATACCAAGAGTCTTAGACGGTATGCTTTTGAGTAAGACCCTGCTGACGATGTACATGTATTGTTTCAATTTCTTAAACACCGGAGATATAAGGGAGATAAACCCTCATTAACCCCTTTGAGCCTAGAAGTATGAGTTTTTTTTCTTGTCATAAAAAACCCTCACATTCAATCCGGAGTAGGATAGATTTCAGTTAATCTAATCGAGCATTCAAATTTCAAAAGGGAGTGAACATCCGAGGATCACCACACCTTACCCATCACCTATTAGGAAGACAAAAGATGACGATACAACAATAGTTATCCCTCACCGACCAGAGAATGAAATCAGTCACAATTCTTCCAACAAGTCGAAAACAACTCGAAGTCACACGATGTGTCTGAAAGAAAAGAAAAGATAATGAATGAAAAAAAGAAAAGAAAGAAAGCCTGCTAAGTCGAAAAACTTGAAAACAAGTGACTTAGGCAAAGATTAGGGCATCCTGCTGGACTTGAAAAACAAAAATCAAAAAGAATTGTTTAGGGAAAAGTTAAGAAAAACAAGAAAGCAAAAAATGAAAGTCTGGAAGGCGAGAAAGGATTACCAAATAAAAATCTTCAGCAAGAACAAAGTCGTGTAACCAGACACCAAAAACAAAAATGTAAGTGATTGTCATGTTCAAACTATTTAGGGAGGCTTCACAATATTTTCTCAACCACTTTACTTTCTGGAACTCTATCTCCAAAACTTTTAATTTGATTTTCAATCTCAATAACTCTAGAGAAGAAATATTTGACTTGCTCACCTTCTTTCATTGTTAAATTCAAATTGACTCAATAAAGATTGTAATTTTATGGTAATCACTTTTATTGAGCCTTAAAATTCTGTCTTTAGAATTTCCCATGCATCTTTGGCCTTCTTAACACTAAATATTCTAGGATAAATGACTTTACTCATACCTTGCTGGACAAGTCTCAATGTTGTAGCATTTTTCATCACATTCTCCTTGTATGATTTTTCTTTATCTTCAGCACAGGAAGCGTCTTTTTGACTTTGGCGTTCTGCATAACCTTCTTCGACCACTTCCCATAGATCTTGAGTGATAAAGATGATTTCCAATTGAGAGTTCCAGTAATCATAGTGTTCACCATTGAAAACTGAAATCTGATTTGTTGTGTGAGAGAAAATAGAGTTTGAATTTGTTGTTGTCATTCTCTTCTTTTCTTCTTCTTTTTAATAACTTACTGCTTTGATGCTAAAACTGTTGGAGACAAATGAATAATACTAATAAAATAGAACTTGTGAAGTAATGTTTCTTATTAATGCAGTACCTTTTCAAAAGAATGAATCTCTATTTATATTTGTGCATAGAAAATTCTAATAGATAAATGAAAACATCTAGTAGTATTAAATGATTCTCTCTAAAATTAACAGGTACGTGAATGGACTTCTAGATGCTTTAAGGAACCTAGGAATATGAAACATTTCAAATCATCATTTAACACTTGAATGGATTTTGAGCAGACTTTTTTTTTTTAACTTTTATCCACCCCTCTGATGGCTCGGTTGAGTGGGTTTATATAGGTGAGAGATGAGTGAAATTAGAGTGAGAATTGGAGGGAACAGAGATGTGATTGAGTGAAAGTTTGTTAGAAATTTGAGAGGGAATATCATGATCCGTGTGCTCATTGTTGCAATCCAAGTGAACTTTAAATCTCAACCTTTGATAAATATTGAAAGTGAGGTGAAGATGAAATGTAAATCAAATTCAATTTAAATTCAGTTTTTATTGTAAATGAATTGTGAAATGTAATTGTGGTTTTGTTGAAATTCAACTTGAAATGAAAATTTGTTGATTTGAGTTTTGGTTTTGAATGAAATTTCTACTGTCATGAGAGAAAAAGCGTGAATGTTGTGCAAGTGGTCCCAAACCATGGCTTGAAATTGGCTTCAAATGTGGCTTAGAAACATGACTTGGCTAAATACTTGAAAAGGGCTTACAAAATGATCTAAAAATTTCTTTAATTGTAACATGAAATTGGCTTAAAAAATCTCTTGAAACTTCGCTTAAAATTGGTTTGGAATTTGGTTAGAAAATGACTCTAAAGTGTGACCCGAAACAAAACTAAAAAATGGCTTGAAAATTCATTTTTGAAAATATGCTTGAAATGTTAGGACCATGGCTCAAAATAGACTTGAATTTATCTTAACAATCCTACCCCTTTAACTTTGAATTGAACATTGAATTTCAATTAAAAATCAATATGGCTTAATTAATTTGAAATAATTTGAACTAAAACCAAAAATCCATATTGAACATGAATTTTAAATAAGGTAGACTTTGAATAACTTTGACTTTTTTTTGAATTTTTTGAAATGAAATGGACTAATTGAAATTATGCATATAAATATGAATGATTGACATAAAAATGTGATGAAGATAAAAATGGTATGGTTGACTTTTTATTGAATTTTTATAAATGAAATCATGTCTCGGATGAATTTATGAAATGGATAAGGAGTAAAAATGAAATATGACATGGGACATCCATAAAAGTTGAAAGTGCATTTCCCAATTATATTAGTTTGTCAACTAGACTTTTTAATCTGATTTGTATAAAGCCCGAGCCACCATGGGCCAGCCTTTCACCGGTCGAATAGCCCAATTTTTAGCTCTAATTAAAATACATATGAATTTGTGTTATTCTTTTGGAGCAAGTTTTTTTTAAAAGCAATGAATAGATTAAGGAGAGTATTAGGGATACTCTAACCCGCTTACAAAAGACAAGAAGCAATGCTCGGAGAAGGAAAAATTCCCAACCAACTGAAACTTAAACAAGAAAATACATAGGATCTCTTCAAAACTCGTAAAAGTTACACCTGGTAGTAGAAATTTAACCAATGCAAGCCCACTTCCAAATCAGCAACTTAATATCCCAAACTAAATCTGGAGCGCAAGCTTTGACACCTTTAAAAATAAATTCATTTCTAAGGGGCCAAATACCCTACAAAACTGCTATCCAGAAGATTGAATCTCTACCCTTCTTCACTCCATTCTTCCTACAGTCCGAAAGCCAAATGATTAAGATGCTCCAAATAATTCCTCCTAAATCTGACCGCAAACCACACTAAATAAAAATATCCCTCCAAATCAACTTAGAGAAGGAACACTCCAAGAATAAATGATTTAAAGTTTCAACTTCTTCAGTATAAAAAACATACAAGAAATCATTAGATGAATGCATAATTCCCATTTGAAACAAAAGGTCCCTAGCCGAAAGCCTATTCAACAAACATCTCTATCCGAAAGCTTTGATCCTAAAAGGAACGAGATATTTCCAAGCAGAACCAACAACAGAAATCATACCTTCGTCCCAACCTGCCAAGTTAGTGAAACTAGACAGCAAATTATATCCACTCTTCGTCGCATAACCACCTACCAAATCTAGATACCACCCAGAAAAATCGTTCGAGTTGCTGTCCAAAACGAAATCTTCCAGCCGATGTTGCAGATCCTCGTTCCGAGCTGCTAATTAAGTTTGTCAAGAACACCAAAGTTACCCCACTCTCAACCGGTTGATGACCAGCTCCCCATCTTATCCACTCCAACATCCTTCACGCCACTTATGTTATATAAATCTAGAAAGTCATCCATCAAACAACAATAGTTTATCCAATGAGCATTCCAGAAAGGAGTAATCAAACCGCTTCCTACCGTGAATAAGCAATTCTGAGTTAGCACAAGCTCATAAAGCTTTCATTCCAAGGATAGAAAATATGCCCACCAAGAAGATTTGGGCTTATTCGCTATATAACTGGTACTGGACAGGATTTGATAATGCAAATTCCTATATTTGGCCTTCAAAATGTCCATCTAAAGAGCTTTAGTACCCTGAAAAATCTTCCAGTGCCATTTAAACAATAAAACCACATTAAAAAGTTTGAAACTCTTGAAGCTTAATCATCATTTCTCGAGAGGAGAACAAAGATAATCCTAACGCAACCAATTAATCTTATTTTTATCAGGAGAACCTCCCCGGAGAAAATTATTCCGAATTCGTTCAATAGTTTTGAAAACCTTCGTCGGGGCTTTGAAGAATGAAAGTTGGAAAATGGAAAGACTAGATAAAATGGATTTCACCAACGTAATTCTACCGCCTAAACTGAGAAAATTCCCTTTCCAAGACGCTAAACGATCTTTAATCTTCACAATAAAAGGATTCCTCCCAGAAACCCTTCTCGGATTAGATCCTATAGGAATACCAAGAAAAGCAAACAATTTACCTTCTAACCTGCAAGAAAGAAAATTAACAGCATCCAGAAGGAAATGTAGACTCAGGTTGAAACCTATAAGCCTACTCTTGTGGAAATTAATGCCAAGTCCCGACACTATATGAATCCTCTCAACACTGCCTTAAACGTCAACATCTGCTTCTAATTCCCATTACCTACTAAAAGCGTATCATCAGAAAATTGTAAAATTTCAACAACACATTTTCCCTCCATAAAAAAAACCCAAAAATTCATTCACAAGGACCGCTTGACTAACTAACTCGGATAATCCTCCCGTAATGATAACAAATAAAAATGGAGAGAGCGGATCGCCTTACCTTAACCCCCTACCCACCTCAAAATTTTTAGTAGGGATACCATTAACGAGAATCGACATCCAACTCGAGAAAACGGTAGCTTCCATCCACTTCACCCAAACCTCGCTAAAACCCATCCTTCTCAACATATACCTTAAGAAACCCCCAACTCACCTTATCGTATGTCTTTTCAAAATCAATTTTGAAAAGCATACAACCCTTCTTGGACTTCGTCGCATAATTCACCTCTTCATTTTCAACTAATACACCATCTAAAAGTAACCTCTCCAGGAAAAAGCGCTTTGACAACTTGAAATGACAGAGTTCAAAACCCTTTTAAGTCTAGCTGCCAAGATCTTTGAAAGAGCTTTGTAAATACATTCCACCAAACATATTACCCTATAATAATCGAGGTTGCACGGATTCGACTTCTTGGGAATTAACGTTAAGAAAGAAGATGAGATATCTTTAGAAAGAGTACCTTTAGTATGGAATTCATTGAAAACCCGAGTAAATTCCTCTCTAAGAAAATCCCAACATTTTCTAATAAAGAAGAAATTATAACTGTAACACCCCCTTAACCCTGCGCAAATAATATAGCTTAATTAGAGTAAATTAGCATGCATATCATAAGAGGAGTCACATGTATTTCAAAACCAGCACAATACACCGGTCATGCTCATAACACGCATTTAAAAACATGTTCCATACACTAACACATATGGATCTCACAACGAAAATAATTCTTTTTCATAGTAATTTTAATAATTGAAATCTCGTACTAACAATCATATTTTAACATATTAGGCACTAAAGGCCACTCATCACATAATCTCAATACATCGTAATAAAGAGGGTATAACAAAAATCTCTTAAAGCAAACATGAGTTCAAACACTACCCATGTTATATAGACCAGAGCATGACTCACTACCTAGATAAGCAGATAAACAAGAAATTATCTCCTCTGACTAATCCTCGCGAGAAGCACCACTATCTTCGGTACCTGAGCGATATCGTATAAAATATCATTTCAACAGAAGAGTGTGAATTCACATCATTATATAATTATGTAATAATAAATAATGCATCACATATAAGCAATACTTGAGTTCATCACACTTCGCATAATCAACGTATTCATTACATTCTAACATAATTCCCATAAATACATATACAACATTGCTCGACGATTCAAGATTCTATGATAATCCATCACAAGTATCACAAATGTAATATTCACACCAATATCACATATTACACACCAATTCAATATTTCACATCGACACATGTGACTCAAATGCAACTCAACACAATATGCATGCAGTACCAAGTATTATCCTTACCGATATCACGGGGTCCACATCTCTAAGATATATAACCACCAAAATAAAGCTCGTCTCTCAAGCTTTCAAACCACATCTCTAGGTTTGGGACAAGTCACTAACTCTCGCAAAAGCTAGCAAACATTGCCTCTTGACAACTCATGATACATGTGCAATCTCAACATATATATGCAATTAAGACCATCTCCATATCTTAATCATACAAACATATTTCATATAATTCAACACATTTTAATTATCTTCACCAAATTGCACAACATACATACACCATATCAATA